CTTTTCCATCTCCCAGGGAAAATTTCCTCCTTCCCCCACCCCCTTGTGCTATAATAGCAAAGCAAGGCCCTAAAATCAGGATTCTGAAGTTAAAAATAAAGACCACAGTAGTTTTCTTTTTTTTTTTTTTTTCTGTACCCTGAGAGGAAAAAGAGTTTACCTTCTCACCACAACAGATGGTTTTAAATGCAGTGATTACAAAATTCTGAATGTAAAATGGTTTAATTACAAAGTCAATACTGCCTCCAACCTGGTCTGAGTCTTTAGAGTAAAAACAACAGACGGAGTAGGGCGAAGGCTGGGACAATGTTTAACCAGAACTTTGCATGGCTACTGCAGTAGGGTTTTCCATAAGGCCTTGGCAAACCACAGTGCTCACAGATCTGTGTTCCTACTTGTTCAATGACCTCAGGAAGAATTTTCACAATGCAATATATCACATAGACACAGTTCTATTGAGTTCTGTGGGAGCTGAAAAGCAGAAGGCAGGCTTCAATTTCAGTCAAAATGAATGACCCAGAAAAACTTAAGGATACACATGGAAAGGAGTTTGTCACAGGGACAAATTTACAGTTCAATTTAAAAGAGAACATTGTTGTAATAATAAATTTTATTTCAAAAAATTAACTCCATTTTTTTTTTTTCTTAAAACCCAAATGAAGCTGGGCATGGTAGCACATAACTTTAATCCCAGCACTCCCGAGGCAGAAGGAGGTGTGTCTCTGAGTTCAAGGCCAGCTTGGTCTACAAGGGGCTACAGGGAGACCCCGTTTCAAAAAGACCAAAAAAAGAAAAAAACCAAAAAAAGAACAAAACCCAAATTAACATAAGGGTAAGTTAGGCAATTGCAATATTTTAAATTTGTAAATTAAAAAAGAAGAGAAAAATCTAAGTTTACTTTCTTCCCATGTATCATATTTTTCCAAAGTAGAAGAAATGAGAGCATTAAAAATTGATTCTAATTAAATTTGTGATACAAAAGTGGTAATATTTGATGAAAATGTTTCTATGTATTTTGATATGCTGATTCACTTTTGTTTTTTCAACTTATCTGTTCAATTAACCATCCTTGAAAATTAATGTGACCAAATGAGCGGCCCTAAACACAGGTGCACACAAGCACCACTGAATTGACTCAGGGCATTATATATGTATATTTATAAATGCATGCATGTATATGTAAAAATAATAATCAAAGAAGAGAACAGAAATTGAGGGGGAGTTTGGGGGACATGGAGAAGTTGGTGGGGGACTGGGAGGGATGGAAATATTGCATGGACAATCCTCATGTTTGAAATTCTAAAAACTAAAAAACTGAAAAGACTTTAAAAAATTAACGTGAAAAAGTACATGCACTTTCCTTAAGGTGGTATATGTTCCTGTCTCCTATCTGCTGAACATTTAACATGAGCAATTACAAGATAATTAGGGTCATGGGGCTAAGCAGGTGTGGGAGGATCTGACTAGTTAAGTAAAACAAACATTTCTGATGGCTTATCTCTGAGCTTTCTGATCTTAATAAATGTCACCAGGATAACGCAAAACAACTCTTCTAGCAGCTCCAGGAGGGAATCAACAATTTCTACGGTTTAGTTCCCTGGAAAGAAAATGTCTCATTCCCGCAGGAAGTGACTAGAATTATATGGAGAATTTGATATTGAGATTAAAATATGGAAAGAAACAAAAAGGAACAAATCCTATATTCTAAAAATGAAAATAATTTAAATTATATAGTTTTAAAAATATATTAAGCCAAAGTAAGTAAACAATAAAATTATAGTTACAGATATTAACATCACTTTTGGAGAAATATTAACATTTAATTATCCAAATTCTTGGTGACAAAACTTACACAAAATAGTCTACCTAGTATCATTTTCTGCAATGTTTTCTGAAAAGCCTTAAAGCAAAGAGTAAGTTGTCTTACTGCTATACATTTCAAATAGGATCGAGAAATACCTTGGTATTCTTCAACAACAAATTCTTTAAAAGAGCATGCTTTTGAAACGCATTCACATACTTTCATTCATTTTTCATTCTTATGACTTGGCCAACATTCTAACGTATTATAGCCTTAAAAAAAGAGCCTTTCCCTGAAATAAAATATAAATAAAAGCAATTCCACTTTTTAATGCATGCATTATAAAAATATTTGCAAATTAATACACCTGATGCAACTAGCCCTGGGTTCAAAAGCAAATGTTGCCAGCACTCCCAAACCTTTCTACTCCTTGTTTCTAGTCACTATCAGCTCATAGGAACCACTGTCTGACTTCAAGCAGAAAAGATAATTTTTGTTTATTTTGTACGCTATTTCAGTGGAATGGAACCATACCATTCTGACCCCTATGTGTCTCATTTCCTCAGCTCAACTTGGCATTTTTTCAGCTATGCTCATGTTTTTGTTCATTTTACAATTTTATATATTTATATAATTTATTGTGATCATATTCCCCTCCATTGCCTTCTCTTAGCATTACCCGCCTTGCTAACCCTGCTTCCTAAGTGGTCCTCTTGCTTTGTGTGTGTGTGTGTGTGTGTGTGTGTGTGTGTGTGTGTGTGTGTGTGTGTGTGTGTGTGTGTGTGTGTGTGTGTGTGTGTGTGTGTGTGTGTGTGTGTGTGTGTGTGTGTGTCTGTGTGTTAAGAAGTGCTATTTACTGGAACATGGGCAACTTACCAATGGTTACCCCCACTGAAGAAAACAACTCCCCTTCCCCTGACACCCAAAACTCTTCAGGGAGGGTGGGGCCACACGAGCCCTTTTCCCACCATGATGGGCTATTGAAGGGTCCAGCCTTCTTCAGGTTTTGTGAATATAACAACAGCTGCTGTATGTTCATGATCACAATGGTCATATCATATTCAGAAGACAAATTTTATAGCATTCCTGCCCATCCTCTGGCTTTTACAATCTTGCCACCTTCTTCCATAATGTTCCATAGGCCTTGAGAGGGGTGATATAAGTGTCCCATTTAGGGTAGAATACACAATGATCACTCATTCTCTTTACTTTGACTAATTATGAGTCTCTGCATGAACTGTCACTCGCTTTAAGCAGAAACTTCTCTAAGATTAAGAGCAGCACTAGTCTATGGGTATAAGCATAAATATTTAGAAGGTGGTTTGACTACACGTTCATTTAGCAAAACATCAATAGTAGATTCTCCCCTAAGGGCTTGTGATCTCCCCATCCATAGGCTTTTGATCAGATTTATAGTAACCTCTTGTAGCAGTCTCAAATCCAATCCAAAAGCAGCTGGTTACCTCTAGACAATCATGGCACTATCGTAGCAGTGGGCAGATCCTGCCTGGCAGGTTGGTATTGTAGCATGCAAGGTCTATATCTGGGTAAGACCACTGATGTCTTTTCTCCCCCAGCAGCCTGCATAGCAAACCCCAGCACTATGAACACTAGCCACCTGGGCGGATGCTTCCAGTTCAGTTCCAGCTCAATTTCTCTGCAGTCTGTATTCAAAGTCTGTGTTCTCTTCAGCTATAGACTCTTACCATCTAGTTCTGGAGGATAACCAAACCAAGAGCAATGTGTGCCCATGTTTTTGTGTACAATTAAAATTGTTCTTTTTTGCTGCTGTATATTTCATTTGGTGGATATGTCATCATTTCTCTCTGTTCTGCTACTAATGAACTTTTGGGTATGATCTAGTTTTTCTATCACCAATAGAGGCACAAAAATTCTGGTTCAACTTTTGGCGAACACATATCCTTATTTATGTTAGCCATATATCTAAGAATGGAACAATTATGACACAGCGTATGCAGTGTTTACACCTTCAGTGAATACAGCCAGAGCTATATCACAAAGTTTGTGCAGAGCACTCTCCCTTTATGTTCTCGTACTGTATGAATTGTTTTATGTGAACACACTTTTATCTATATTAATGGCTTTGTGGAACGGAGGCTGTAGCTCAATGGTACACCATTTGCCTAGCATGTGTAAAGCTTATGGGTTAACCCCTAATATCACAAAGACATCATCATAACTTTTTAATGATTTTATGTTATATTTTTATACTTTCCTACTTTTCTTTCACTCTACATTTAAGATTTAAGATCTGTGTTTGCTGATATGTGAACAATGAGTCTGCTACTTCTAATTGTACATAACCATATGATTTTTAAAATAATGTTGTATATAACAGCAGGGGAATGCTCCATCCAACAATGAAGTGCTATGGGGTGATATGGAGATGAATTTTAAAACACCTTTAGAATCCATGAGAAAATATTTGTTAAAATTAATGTTTGATAAAGGAAGACGAAAAAATTATTTTCAAGCTATGATTGAAAACTTTAAAATGTATACATTTCTGAAAAGAAATCTACCAATACAAATAATGTTTATTGTGGTAGAAGATGTTGGGCACTTTTTTTTTCTCTTCATATTTTTCTGTATTTTTTCTAGTGAGAGAATAATCAGGAAAAGATAAATAAAAATAGAAGAACAATTGAATGCTTTGAGTGAGATAATGTGCTTTACAACACATACTGTCTGTTCTAGTGTCATTATGTTGCTGCGATAAAACACTCTGACCAAAAGTAACTTGGGACAAAAGGGTTTATTTGGCTTACATCCAGGTCAAAATCCATCACTGAGGGAAATCAGTGTAGGAATTTGGAGACAGGAATCATGGAGGAATGCTATTTACTGGTTCACTCTCTGGCTTATGCTCAGCTACCTTTCTTACATAGTCCAGACCCACTTGCTTAAGGAAAGTGTTGCCCACAGTGGGCTGGGCCCTCCCATGTCAATCATAAATAAAGGCAATCTCCCACAGACATGGCCACAGGCCAATCTGATTGAGGAAATTCTTCAACTGAGGCTCCCTCTTCCTAGGTGACTCTAGGTTTTAACAAGTTGACAATAAGAACTAACCAGGACACTGACTTTGTAAAACATTTTATCTCTTAAATTTTCAACTTTTTATTCTTAGAATCAACCTTATTTCTGATAGCATCATCATTTTGAACTTCTTGGGTAACACATTCCTTCTCATGTGTATCAAAACTCATACTGAATAATGAGTTCTGAGTTGCAAAAGAGGATTTATTTTTGCACCTGTCTTGAGTTTTTGTCCATTATTTCAACAAACAGGCACACAAGCACTACTCATCTCTTGATCATTTGTTTTTCCAACATGTTTCGTATCATTTTCTTAAGAGTTCTTTATTACTTTGTATCATCACAATTTGCAGCTCCATAAATACTAATTCATTTTAATGGCAGCATCTTTCCTCTCCGTGTAGTCTTTATCTTCTACTTCACTCTGTTCTTCATTCAAGAGGTCTGCTAGAGGCTCAAACATCTCTGTTCTCAAGGGATCCGCCCCTTCCTTCAAGGCTGACACCTGATACTTTCCATATCGCCCAATGTTATGGGAATTTTTCATCCACAACTTTGTGTCAAGATGCCTTTCTTCTTCTAAAACCCATTTCTTAATTAACCGAATTAACATATTTAAACCATATGGAGAGTATTTAAACACAATTATTTAATTAAATAGAGCACGATCTGTACAGTGTTGATCCTTGTTGAATAAGGTTCAGGTTTCTCAGTTTTGTTTTTCCACTAATCTGTCCTTTGTCTTTAGCTTTAAAAGGAAAAGAGAGAGGATGTCTCTCAAACAGAAAATAAACCAAACTCTCTAGAATCAGAATATTTCCTATGACTTAGAAAAGACACCCAAAATCAATATATTCCAAGTTGACCAAGGATGACCACATAGGCTACAGGACTTCCCAACGTTCCATAGTGGGAAAAGCCTCACTATGAATAACTATAATTTCCTTTCCTGGATTCTGTCAGACTACGTATTCCGCTCCCATTCCAACCTAACCTTGGAGTGGAAGTTATTCATTCTCTGGTTGTTGTGGCTATCTAGCAAATATTGTTATAGGAAGTCTACATTTTATAACTTTGACTTAGGATGTCTTTCTCTTCCTTTGTTTTTTTTTCTTAGTTAACCAAATTACATGTCTTTTTCAATAAGGACATTTGAACACAGGACACATTAGAATTCATCAAATGGCAATGCCCAAGCAGGGCTGTATGACAGCTTCCGTGTACCTGGGCACTTTCTCTTTGTAAGTCACTTACTCCACATTGAGAAAAAAAAAAGCCAACTTTTAAAAATGCATTTTTTAAATCCAAAAGGTTTGAGAAAAGAAAAGAGAAATAAAATGAGGAAAGGTGTCAAGCACAGTCTATGCAAGGAGTGGGTAAGTAGGAGGCACCCCTCATGGAGTGCCCCAGCATCTGGCTTGCCTTTCTAGTTTACAGAAATTTTGCTGTCCTGCAGCTTGTCCCCTGAGGCCCCGTTCTCTGCTAACTGCCCATAGGAAGGTGGGGTAATCATATAAATCAATGCCTTAGCCATAGTTATTGGAAAAAGTGTTGCTCCAAGGAGAGTCCCCTCTGTATCCTTCCCTTCTCACAATACTAAAAACCTGCCCAGTGTTCACAGAGTGACCTGATGTTAACAAATTAGTCCATTCCATCCCGGTCAATCAAAAGTAGATTCTGAAACTATCCAGAAAGCAAGGTTTCTTCCCAGCAGATCAGCTCCCCTTTGCACACACAGTAATGTAGTCAACTGACCTCACCTGCATCCAAAACTAAAACATGTCTGCGGGCCATTTCTATATTTTTGATCCACTGAAAAATATTTCCAAAGCAGTATGCAATCCAAAGGTAAACAAAGGAGAGCGCCCATGCATTTTAAAGCCTTCTCTTGGCGAACAACTTTTACTAATGATGGCAACAAAATTATTGAAGCCTACAATAAGCTGTTCAGTGGTCAGATAGGTCAACTTATAACCAGTATTAAGATTTAGATAGCCCTTAAAATTAAACACTTTGGGATTATTAATGTTTCCTTTCCTCTCAAAATTTTTGTGTTGAGAGGAGGTATGGGAGGAAATGTTCTAGCAACAGTAGGATGTGGAGGGGAGCTCTAAGCACATTAAACAGCTGTTGATGGAGCCATTAGCTCAGTCTGTAGATACTGCCACCTGGCTCTTGTTCCACTTTGCTCCAATTTTAGTATCTGAAAATATACTGTAGCAGTCATGTTCCACTTCTTTTAAATCTTTTACTACTGCATTAAGTGAAGCATAAGTACCAATCAGTTCTCACTGAGACGAAAAAAAGGGACCTGCTTATGACAAGCATCAAATGCCAGGAGGAAAGTGGCAAGGGTTAAATGGCACTTAGCAGCTCAAGCTGATTGTGTTACTACCTACGTGAGAGGAAGTCCTTAAAGCAGAAAATGGAGGTGAAGGCAAATCTAGTTTGAATAATCATGTTATCTGGGTAAAAGTCTCAGCTCCTTCCTCTGCCACCTCTACAGGTTATTTTCAAGTACAGCATTAGATTGATCACAGACAGGGAGCTAAATGAAACAGAATCTCAGAGAAAAACAGCCTCCACTTTCACCAAATGCTCAGCCTGAACTAGTTGTTCTTTCTTGGAAAAACCATGAGAATAAGTGTTTGCTCTGAGCTTTCAACAGACTTAGAGTCCAGATAGAAATCCCCTGCATACAGGAGGAATAACTGCCTTGATTTACAACCCATGCGTCCACTGTCTGCTCTACATCAGGCCCCACAGCAACAGAGACATCGTTGCTGCTTCGGACAAAATGAAGCTTCCTTGTTGCTGGCACTGGGGTTCCTTTCATTTTATTTGTTTCCTATAAAAGAAACTTACTGAAGGGATTCACCATATTTGAAGGGGTAGCTCTGAGAAGCCTACACAATCAGAATTTCACTTCCATCAACTCCCCCATGAAGTGTCTCTATTTCAAGCTTAGTCATTGGAGATTTGAGGCCTCATTTATGGAATTAACTGAAGGATTACGTGATGCAGCTGCTTTAAGAGGAGCCATCCTGCGTCACCCTCACCCATTCTAAATTGCTCTGTGCAACTGCTTTGTGGTACCACAACGTCAGAAGTCTGGGAGGCTTAGTGGTTGTTCTGTTAACTTTCTATTGCTGTGATAACATCATGACCAAAACCAAGTTGGGCAGGATAAGGGTTTACTAAATCTTATACTTTCAGCCCATCTCTGAAGAAGTCAGGCAGGAACTCAGGACAGGAACCTGGAGAAAGGAATTGGAGCTTGAACCATGGAGGAATGCTGCCTACTGGCTTGTGCTCAGCCTGCTTTATTATATAATCTAAGACTACCTGCCCAGGGGTATCACCACCCACAGTGGAATGGACCCTCCCATATCACTCAACAGTCTGGAAAATGCCTCACAGACATGCCCACAGCCAGTCTGATAGAGGTAATTTCCCAATTGAGGTTCCTTCTTCCCAGGTACCTCAAGTTGACAACCAAAGCCAACTGTGACAGAGCACTATCTATCACATGTAGGACCATGCTTGACCCCAGTTTGATCACACACACACACACACACACACACACACACGCACACACACGAATTAATAATATCTCAATAATATATAACTTTATATCCCCACTTAGTATCTCAGAGTTCTGAGAGAAAAGAACAGTAAGAAACAGGTGTTACTAAGAGATAAATGGATAAAAATGAGGTTATTTAAATGGGAGGGCAGAGGGAGGGTTATACAAGGAAGCTTGGAGATAAAGGGAAAGAAGGAGCTCAAGAGAGGTGGGACCTTTACACTTCTTTACATCTTACAGAAGAGCTGAAATGACCAATGACTGTCTTCTCCACCAGACTCAGAGCTCTGTGAAAAGTGGGGCTGCCTATTACTGCTGTAGCTCAGTGTGGAGCTCATTATCAATGTGAGACAACAGCAGAGAGAGCAGAGGAATGGGGTAACTAGAGAAAAGGAAACAAGGAGGGAAACTAGAAGGAGGAAAGGAAGGGAGACAAAGAGAGAGATGAATCAGGTCTTCAGACCACGGTTCCTACAAAGCTCTTAAATATATGGATTCTTTTAAACTTTATGCCTGATATTATAGCTGTGCTGTCATACCAAAAGTTCCACAAGGATAGAAATCAGTTTAACCGAGGCTGTAATTAAAATCTCCATGAAGAAGTAAGGCCATGTATATTTTACTACAAATATGTTTCCAAGCCTAGTACAATGCCTGACACATGTATTTATTGTATAAATATATGTAATCGTTTTAGGGAAGATTAGAGAAAGGCATTTCAATCATTTCTCTAAAACTTAATCAAGTGAATTGTTTTTATATTATTACAAGAAGATAAAAATATCCTCAGCAAACGGAATACAGGAAGATTATATTCATTTAGATATTACAAGGTGAGAATTTACATGTATAAAGGAGAACAGAAGTAAAGGAAAACTGAATATAAAGAAATGAAATTAAATGCTTTAGTAAAACATTAGAGAGAAACTTATTTCTTCAAAAATAAGGATTAGACAGTTGGAAGGCTGAGTGTAGTGATACATGCCTAGAACCCCAAGACGTGGAAGGCTGGAGCAGGAAGATCACAAACTTGAGACCAGCCTGGGCTATCTAGCAAGATCCTGTCTTAAAACAAACAAACACACAAACAAACAAACAAACAGAAGAACAAAAAATACAGTTGACAAACTAAAAATAACACAATGACCTTTCTCAGCAGAGTACAGTATGGAGAAACTGCCCTAAGAATGCATGGGAAGGGCCCCTGAGCCGGAGCACATGAAGATGCTGCAGACAAAGCAGATGTAACGAAAAAAAGCCAGTGAGAAGAGCAAGCAATGCGTGAACCTGGAGAAGGAAGGAGTCAGGGAATACCGCGGAGGGTTAGCAGTGAGGTGCTGCAGCTCAGTTATTGTGCATCAAGTGGAAGGCCCCTGCTTTACTATTGGAACAATTTGGATGGGTCACTTCCTGGGTATGTGATTTTGCACAAGTTACTCATTCTCTTTGAACTTCAGTTTTTTAATGTATAAAACAAAGACAACGATATTTGCATTTGAATTAATATGCATATAGTTTCTTGCATACAATAAGTACTCCATGCTTTTAAATTCCTTTAATTACTATGATTATTATTGTCCCAGCATCAGAGGTCTTTGGTCACACAGAGGAAAAATCAGAGCCATACTTTTCTCTGCATTTTAATTTTAATTAATTAATTAATTTAATTTTGTTTATTA